GAGAGACAGCAACATACAAAAAAACCTGATTTACAGAGTGGCAAGTGCTATGGGGAAGTAAGACAGGGCAGTGGGGTACGGCAGGGCTTGTTATGGGGTTCCCCAAGCCCCCAAGGATGACAGAAGGCAGGGCGTCTGTGAATTTGGATGGGATAAAAATCACCCCATTTTCACTAACTTCTAATGAAATATACGATTTCTTCCCATTCTAAACAAGGGTGGTAATCCACAGCTGTGACAGCAGAAGCTGTGACTGGTCACCAATGGGATCACATATTTTCTGAGCATATTACAGAGGTGGCAGATTCTGTGAAAACTCCTGTGTGTACCCCATTCCTTTGAGATGATGATAGTATGAGACCAGCCCCCGGATCTTCCTGTTTAGTGTGCTAGTAAGGAAGCCCACATAGTATGACATCACACATTCACTTCAATATTTTGATGATAATATTAAAACTAGTGACCCGGTGCATGGATTCGTGCACATTGAAAGGAAATTATTTAGAAGGTGGCTGGCGGGGGTGGGACTGGGTGAGATGGGCCGGACACACCCTGGAGCCAACCTCCCATGGTCCCTTCCTGGCCAGCTGCACCTGGGGTTGGCACCAGGGTTCGAAGGGCATCTGCGGAGTGAGCGGGGTCCCTCTGGCAGGTGGGGTCCCTTGGTCTGGCCTGTGGGGATCAGGCCGAAACCAGCTCTCTGACATCCCCAGGGCAGGGGGGAGGTGGGTCCCAGAGTGTGATGGGGCACTCTGCAAAGTTGCTGTTGTACAGGGTGTGGAATGCAAACACAAGTGTGCAGTAAACCATATACGGGCTGACAGTGCCCTAGTAACAACTTAACCCATGGCCAAAGGTGGAATCGTGTGGCCCCATGAGGAATCGGGCTCCCTCCTCTCTGGTTTTGGGGTGTGTCACCTGAGAACCGCCACTGCCAAGTCACTGCAGCTTGGCAGCTCCTGCACTGAGTGTCTGCCTCTTGGTGGTCAGTGCGCGTCATAGCAACTGGTCAGAGAGATGGACGCTTAGCATATTAGCCTTTTATATATATAGATAAAACTGCCTTCCTTTGCAATCCCACCTATGTATTCAAAAACATTCTGCCACGAGGTCACAGGCTTCACTATCAGCCCAGTAGCCTCAGCACGGAAAAGGTCGGGAACCCTGGAAAGACAGTGCCCAGGGGCAGACTTCACTTTGTTTTGATTTTTTTTATGATGCAAACTTTCAGACATACACCAATAGTAGAAAGAATTCCCATGTCCCCACCCCACAGCTTGAGTGACTCCTGGCCAATCTTGCTTCATCTGTGTCCCCAACTTGTCCCTCATTCCCATTTGCTTATGAAGCAAGTCCTGGATATTGTG